TATAATAAGTAAGAATAAGTTTTCAAATAATCTGTTCTAACCACATTAACTTTATCTATTCTATAATTAAATTTCAGCGTCACTTATTCATATAAGTTGCCACGATCCTTTTAAAATAATGATTAATCTTTTTTTCTGAATGTTTTTTGTGCGTTAGACATTGTCATTAATTGATAAAGCTTTATTTTATTTTAAAATAAAACGAAAATATTTCGATATCTTATCGTCAGCGATTTCTATTGGCAAAGCATAAAACTAAATCTCTGTAATTTTTTTTATTGAAAATCTATTCTGTCAAATAAGTTGATCGTTCAACCATTCGTTTTCTTAAGAGAGTTTATTCAACATAGAATTCAATTGGTTCTATTTAATCATATATTTTCATGAACATTATATCAATATCATATGAAAATAAATACCATTTCATTTATTCTTATTGAGAAACATTCAAAATATCTTTTGTCGATATTCTATCTGATTCTCTACATTAGAACTCCACTTTACTCATGTCACTTATGGTCTGTTAGATTGAAACATAATAAAGCCATTGGATATTTTAAAATAATCATCATTTTTTCATTCGTGTAATTGGCTTTTTTTTTTCATTACGCGACTTTATTTTCAAACAACAATATTATTATTAAAAAAAAATATAATTTGAAAAATGGCAACATTTAGAAGTAAAAAGTACATAGTTGCGAAATAAATGTCAAGGATCTTTTTTTGACTAAATATTGAGTATGAATTCAACGATATTAAGTGTTCTTTTGTTAGAAATATTCATTTTTATTTATTATTATACGTTAAAATTCATTATCTCGTCTTCATGAAAGAAACAAATTGACCAAGCATTTTGCATATGTGCAGAACCACACATTGTGTGTGTATGCTGCTTTTTTGTCGATGAAACTGATTGCCATGAAGTAGTTTGATGCTCCTTTTGAAAGAAAAAAAGAGAACACGTCAATCGATGCCTCAAATCAAGTTGTTTAACACCATTTGCACTGATAAAAAGGACACATACAGCAGATATTTATAGCTCATAATATTAAGTCTCGAACAACACACATATCCAACCTGTTCTTTCTTATTATGCTGATTGTTATCGGATCATCTTTTTAATTCGTATTGCATCCACCTTTTATTATGATTAATGTCAATACCCAGTAACATTAAAGATGCAAGTAAATTTCATGATTTTGATATCGAAAACATAAAAAAAATGGAATTTTGATGATCAAATGGGCATGTTCTTTGAAATTCATCAATTAAAAGTAGTATTTTAATCAAAATCCTGCAATGAATTTCATTCAAAATCAAAGTCATATAGTGACTTAAAGTTTCCATGAAATTAGCTGCATGAATTTGATTTTGAATGAAATTCATTGCAGGATTTTGATTAAAATGCTACTTTTGATCGATGAATTTCAAAAAACATCAAAGAATATGACGATCTGATCTTCGAAAATGCCGTTTCTTAATGTTTTCCATATCAAAATCATGAAATATTCTTGATTTTTTTAAGTTACTGGATACAATTCCAACCAAGTACGGCGATTGCATTTTTTATGCTTATCATGATTATTCGGCGCATTATAATACTTCTTGTCACTGATATAATTGGACATCATAGGCCATTTCCATTAGGGTCTTGAGTTTCTAAAGACAAAATATTGAAGAAAGGTCAGAGCGAATCTTTGACAACAGAAACTGTTTCATATTGAATTTACGAAAGACGAACGCGTCAATAAAATAATCGGAAATGAGAGTGTGGGTAACGAGGCGACCCATATCCACACTTGTCCACACCTCTGATCATCTTTAGTGTAATCCAAGTTATTATTGTATTATTGTATTACTGTGTTAATCTTAATACTTTTTTTTTACTATTTCTTTCAACACTCGAAGAAGTTTAAAGTAATAATTTGTACATCAAGTTTACTGTATTCAGATAACGTATTTGAAAACAACACAGCAAAAAACGTTTTATTTCATTTTGCGAGGTATACTAAGTTTTTGATTAATTATAACCAAAAATGAATGAGCAATAATTATTAAAAACAAAATTCAACAATTTCGAGTTACTTATTTTTCCTTTTCGAGAATAACACTGTAACACACGTCTTCAGTGTTAATGGTCTATTAAAAATTTCGAAAATAGCTGTAGAAATTCGATCTTATGGTTTCAATAATACGGTGAAAAATTTGTCAACTTTGTTTGCAACAATATTTGTAATTGTTTTGAACACTCGATACCTCTGTTATTTGATCGATGGCCCTAATGCGTGTCTATTTGTTTTTCTTTCGCTTACTCTTTATTACTCTACACACAATGACAATATATTTTTCTATACAACGACGAACATTTCGAATATATGCTGATAATACAGATGTAATTAAATCCTGTTTCAAAAACAAAATATCGAATTCATCATTATCATAAATATACAATTTTCAACATTATATTAGAATTTATTGTATCTTCACATGCCAAACAAGGAATTCTGTAATAAGTGCAATACCAATTTTTTTATATTCTACACCATGAGTTAATTGTGGATAGTCATGCATATACAAATTAGCTGCTTCTCGAATTAATTCATTCATAACTGGCTCAGGATTACCTTTAAAAATAAAAAAATATAAATTAATATGACAAAATCAATATTAAAATTACTTACTCATGAGAAGTTCATGTTGAACTTTATTTACTAGATGTTGGTAATAATGGTCGATCAGATATTCGACTAAGACCAATTTCCTATAAAAGAAAATTTGAATTAATTATAAAGATTGATCGAAAATTTTTTCGACAGAATCAAAAGCGATACATTTATGCTCTTTTCGAGTACGTGTGGAGAAATTTTGTTCGAGAGTAATGAAATAATCTTTGAAACGATAGAAAAAAAATCAATTTTGATGTAATTTTTTTTGTCTTTTATCAAGGCACGTCAATTTTACATTATATATGTGTTGACTTTGTCAGAAATACTATTTTGCAAAAAAAAGCTTTTAGTTTTACTTCATTATTGTTTATCGGTATTATTGATTGAGATTGTTGTCGTAATGATGGTGTATAATGATTCAGTTCATCGAAAGTTTTATCATTTGTTGAAATACATGTACGTTGATGAACTACTGGATTTTGATTGATAATATTTGATGAAGGACCTTTACTAATTGTTGTCTTTTTTGCTACACGTCGACGGCGAAGTGGCGGATCGGATATTCGATCCTAAACAAAGAGAAAAATAGTAAGAACAAAAAAATGGACAAATTTTTTTTGATGAATCAACATATTGATGGATAATTGGTACGTGTTATTTGAAAACTTATTCATTATCATCCTGAGACTTTAAAATAAAGAACGGTGGGTGTTCATAGCAGAAAAGACCCTCACAACCCTACATCTACACCCTTCTTTCCGCTGAAAAAGTGAGAAATTACAAAATGACTATATAGTGCTATGGATCCGGACATGTTCTTTCAAAGAAAAATATTTAAAAATATATAGAATGAACTTGGATAGAGAAATTGGGTTTGCCGAATGAGGTATTTTGAAGTCTTATTTGATCAATACATTTTCCTGAAATTGAACGTTCCTGAACTGAGATCGTTTTTTGAGGGAGGAAGAGGCTATAACATAGCTGCAGAGTGAAACGAACTATTGAGAAGTTCACCAGACAGCCCCTTGGAGGACAAACAGCCTAGAATTGCCTATCCATTCATTTGTATAATCCAGTCGCGTGAGATACAAGCTTTCTCATATCTCTTATTGCAAGATTTCTCTTCACTTTTAATCATTTTTCTCAGATGAAAACTTCGATTCTCAAGAAAAAATTTCAAAAACATCAAAATGACATCCTTTTCATGTTGTATCATCTTATTTCATCAAAAAAAACATTTCATGAAAATAATGTAAATTACATCATTTTTTGCCATGTTTTTATTTGCTCGATCCACAATATCTGTGAAAAAGTTTTCAATTTTTTCAGATATCGAGCCATATTAATGTTGATTTCTTTAAAAAAGCTTCAATTAGTATTGAATTATGGTTTTGTTTATATATTATAATTCAAATTTTAACTTAGACAAGAAGATTGTTTAACATTTTTACAGTAATGTGATTGTTTGACTGTCTACTACTATCTATCAACAAAATAAAAACATAAACAAAATAAATTTTTTATTTTAGATTTACAAAGAATGACTTCATCGACATATGACAAATGTCATATAGGTGAAAATGAATTTAGAGATATAGATGATGTGATAATCACAGAATGTAAGCATACATTTCATCGTCATTGTGCTCAAAAGTATCTCGACACGAAAGATGAATCCAATTGTTATGTTTGTCATCAAGTCTCAGCAATTAGTGATGCACTTTCTCGAGCTATGAAAACACAGATTATGAAACCTACGGAACAAATCGATGATGCATCTGAAGACGTAATTTATTTCTATTCAAATATCAAAACAGTATGAAGTTTAACTGTGCAAGACGTAAACACAAAATCAATATTGATTGAACGGCATGCATAAAAAAACACGAAACAAAAGCCGTCAAAAGTGAATGTAGTAGTCTACCGTGCTACTAGTCTGGATGTAGATGGAGAAGAGTCTTCATTACCGGTCGTTTCAGTAACGAAGCCATCGTAACAGATCTCTAATCAATTAATACGCTAGAATAAGGAACAAGTTGTTGTTGGTTCGATAAATTAAAGTCTGTTTTGATGAAAGTAATTTTGTTACAAAAAGTTTGTTCGAGATTATGAAATCCAAACCTGAAGTGGATTGATTAAAAGCTTAAATTTGGAAGATTTTATGAAATCCTTGATAAGTTCGGATCTCTCTATTTCAAAAGAAAAAAAGAAAGAATTAAAGACTATAAAACAACATTGTTATAACACTACAAATCACCCTTAATAGGAACGCTGAGCACATAAATTTCCATTAACAATAAATAAGTAAAAATTTGTTAGCGCAGTCCCGTTGGGGTCGAAATACGGAACTCATAAACCTTCTTTAGCTGGATTATACTAGTGCAAAATATGTAAAGTGAAACATTTGTACTCATGATTTCTAATATCTGTAATGAAGAAGGATGAGGGTAAGTGCCTCCGCCATTACGCTGCATCACCATTATTGCTTCCATTAATCAATCAGTTCTTTCAAGAGGGTGGGCGTGGGTGTGGGTGTGGGGATGAGAATATGCCTGTGTCTTCGTTTTTTTACCATGCCCACACCCACACCCACACCACCAACACACCCACACCACCCACACACCGACACCCACACACCCACACTCACACCCACACCCACACACCCACCCCCCCCCACCCCCCCCCCCCCCCCCCCCCCCCACCCCCCCCCCCCCCCCNTGTGAATGTTTCTTGCAGTAAATTCAAATGAAAACAATAGGTTATCAGGGAGAAAAATAGCGTTTCATATGCTATATGATACATAGCAGTGTCTTTCAACTGTTGGTAACAAAGAAAAAACATGCTTCTCTCGTACAATTAAAGGATAATATAGTTTGTTTACATTGTAATAGACCATTTGTATGGAATTCAAATGAATTGCTTTTAAATAGTAATGGACTGATGTGTTGAAAAGTTTCATGACTATTCATTGTCTAGTCAAAATATTAGCTTACTAAGACAATATGAATACATTTCATCGAGGCTATTTGAATATGATTGATGAGAAAGACAGACAAAAGTATTAATCTCTTTTTTATTAGTTAAAAAAAGTCAATATTCAGAGAAAAAATGAAAGTACTTGTAATAATATTCCTCTTCATCCATTTATTTGATCTATTGACAAGCATACGAGCTATTTCAATTGGTTTAAATGATACTTCTTGTTAGTCTTAGTTGACTAACTGTTTCTGGTTTATTCGTTCTTTCTTCTTTCTCTTCAAAACAAAAACAACAATCGAAAAAGAAAAAGAACAATCCATCCGTGTTTTCTCATTTACACAGAGAACAATGGATAAAAGAATAGATAGAGAAAAGAAAAGAAAGATAGTGGTGAGAGATAGCGCCACTACCTAACACTTCTTCAGGTTGGCAGGTATATCCTATAATGGTACTTATCATTATGGACCATCAATATTGATTGATGATAATGAAAATGATGCTGTTCATATGTGGACATGCTCACCAGGTACAGGTTCAACACAATAGGATGTTATTCGTTATCATTATTCAAATAATAATTGTAACGAAAAAAGCTTGTTAGTGTAGCCGCTATAGGGCTGAAATTAGTAGCGGCACCAGAATTTTTTGTCTGGGTGGGCTAAGCCCACCCCTGGCGCCGCCACTAATTGTTGAAGTCATTTTCATTGTTCACATAATCATTATTTTCTATCGAATCAGAACTTTTTTCTGCTAATATAAGCATTAACAAGGGTCTTGTAATTTTTAAATCGTATTGTTCATTATGAAAAGTCGAAATTGTAATTTTTAAGTAGCTGTCAGTTATACTTTCATCTTTTATTAATCGAAAATGGCAGTCGATACAGGCAATTATCCCTGCTTCGTCAATTACGTTTGTACTACCACAACATCGACATGAATAATGGTTGTCATTTTTTTTTGATAGACATGATTTTCCCTTTTTTGTATTGTATCTATTTATACTATTATCAACTTGGCTGATTACATTTGGTAGATCATTAATTTGTATAAATCTTACAAATAAATAGAAGAACATCATTGCATTATATAGGGTGTCCCAAAAGTCACTATACAAAAAGAAATTTGAATATCTCCACTACCCTTTCATCAAAAGAGCTAATTTTTTTTTGCTGGTGATGGAGAATACTTCAAAGTTTATTTTCATAAGAAAACCACTAACAGATATAAATTTGAACCATCACTTTTGCCTTCAATATTGAAATGTACCGATTTTCGATTTTTCAAACAAATGCTTTCGAGGGAGAGTCCCCGAGATGATTAATTTTAACTTGAAACTTTGGTCACAGGTTCAAATCAAAACTAGAAGCTATAATTTTCTTCGAAAAATTGTGGTCATCGAGGAGATAATCCACTGAAAATTCCATATCTCAGACAAAACTACGTAAGAGCATGAACCTTTTTGGAGGTCGTTATAGTTCAGTGATCCTCTAGCAGTCGAAAAAATATGCCCTCAAAGCTTCTAATCATCATTTCGTCTCAAAAGCTTTTAATCATCTCGGAGACTCTCCCTTGAAAGAACTTTTTTGAAAAATCGAAAATGGGTACATTTCGATATTGAAGTCAAAAGTGATGGTTCAAATTAGTATCTGTTAATGTTTTTCGTATAAAAAAAACTTTGAAATGTCTTCTGTCACCAGTAATAAAATTAGCTCTTTTTATGAAAGGGCGGTGAAGATATTCAAATTTCTTTTTGTACAGCGACTTTTGGGACACCCTGTATATATAAGCACTAAAGACAAACAGAATGCACTGAAAAAAATTCAGAAAAAGCATGAGGAAAAGAGGAAAAAGATATGAAATGTGTCTGAACATACTTGAAACAAGACAGCAGAGAAACAGCGTGCGTAATGACCACGCACAATAGCAGAACAGAAAAAGAACAGACAGAGCAGAACTGTGAAAGGATGAGAGTCTCTCAGGTGGCTAACTCTGAAAATCAAAGAAGATGAATGCCGGATCGACTATCGTTCGTAGTGAAATCACGTTCTATATATAGGAGGTGGATGCAAAGGAAATATCCATGCTGATTAACAAGGTAGGAGAGTAATGAAATAAATAGTATCGAACTGCAACGAAACACTAAGATTTTATTTTAAATCACGAATTATTCTATCTCGAGCTTTCGACGAATATCACTCGGCATCATCAGAAGAATGAATGAAAAACAAAATGTTTACACTTATTAATACAAAAACGTATAAAAAGAAAGAAAGCATAGACTTTTTCGAAAAAATTTGTTCTTTTTTCTTTTCATAAATTTTTGTATTAATGCGTGTAAACTTTCAACAAAAGCGAGAACTTACATCGATAATGGAACTGTAGTGTGACACTAGTGTAACATTATCAGTGTGCGAAATCTGAAAGTGCGCTAAATCTGATAACCAATGGTGCTATGAAATTCAGCATAATCGAAAATTTATATTACCTTGTGAAATTTACGCAAACGTGCATTTCTTGGTCCCAGTGCCAAAGTGTTCATTCCTCGAAAGAGCGTTGAGACAATTTGAAAATTTTATTGTAAATTGAGGGTCCCTGGGGCTACAATCTCGTATAATTTGATCACAGTTTGCCATGACAACTGCGGGAGTACGACATTAGAAAAAATATTAGTTTACGGGAGACCATGAAAAAGGCTTTTTGCTTCAATAGATCTGATACAGATAGACGTCTTCTAGCTTGCTCTATCGAATGGCGAAAACCAGAACTCGACAGGTATCAGCGTTCAAAAATGATTTAAAAAACAGTGAGGGCTATTTTTAAAACAATCCGATAATAATAATTCAAATTAACCTGGTAAAATATTAATTATTCTATTTTCCTGAAAACAAATAACAGGCATGTCGAAGAACGTAGATTCAAAGTACATCTTCAGAATGTGTCTCAATAAGTACCTCATGTCACACGTTTTAAGCGTTTCACATTACGTCGCAAAATACGACACATGCGCCATTTTTTTTTATTAATGTGAATCTAAACTGTTTGGATTTATATTGTAGCAAAAATATTGAAAACGAAAAACCTTTTGATTTATTTTTGGACAAAGAAACTCTTCCGCATATAGCCTGAAGTGTAAACACGAGACTTACTTTTTCTGGTTTGAGTCTAGATATTATCCTCACCAACACCCACACCCAAAATACTTACCGATGGCTGAAAGTCTTAAGTTTGGAAAAGTTCTTTGTACGTTTCTCGAACAAATTAACATAAAAAGAGTCGCATGTATCGTACTTCACGACACATTTGGAAAATCCAGTTCGAATCTACTTTTCAGAATATCTACAATATCTGCTGCGTAATCGAATAAATTACAACTTTTCCAGTTTACTGGGAATTAGTAAGATTTAAAGATCTCACCAAACCAAATTGGATTGATATCAATTAGACCACTTCGAGTCATTCTATTGTTGAACATTGATGAATTTCTCAAACAATGACTAATCGAGAAACACTCCAGAATAAAAGATATATGAAAATGCATAAGTTCCATATGTTCAACCGAATTGCTTAGATTTAGGTTCACACGCTAAAGAAAATGTTAAATGAATGGCTAGTCAACAAACTACAACATGTTTTGTTTTAGTGTGAATTTAGAAAAAAAAATCTTGATTCACTATGAAAGTTTATCTTATTTGCCTTCTTCTATCACGCTACAATAAGTCATTGTAAACAGGTAATTATAAAACTTTCAAGATATCGGTTGAGTTCGAAATCAATATTTTTTTAACGATCTTCGTTAGCAAAAAGTGTTCACAATTACTAAGTGATTTTGAAAAATTGACTTTTTTTCAGCAATCGAAGTTAGTGAGCTCTCTACGAAACCATATTATATCAAACAGAATATTAAATATTATAAGAAAAAACCTTAATGAACGTTGTAGAGCAAAAATCAAGCTTTTGATAAAACTGTTTCCTATGAACCCTGTATTTTTGTAATTCGAATATTCTGATACTGTTAGAAAGTCAAGTGCACGACAAATTGATTAAATGTATTGCTCATCACTGATTTTGTATGTAGTTACAAAAAAAACCTTCTCCAATCGGACAAGTACGTCGAACGAAATATTTTTAAACAAACACTCTGCTCTTTCTAACAAGTCTCTATGACGAGTTGCTTTCATGCTAGAAGCAATATATAATCAATCTAGAACTTTTGAACCATTCGTTATATTTCCAAAAGTGTAGATACACTCATTTTAATTTTTTTCTAAGCAAAGTTTTTTTTTCAACAATGAATCATTACGCTGTAAAATAGTCATATACCTTTCACATAAGAGAAGAAAATTTTTTTTCATGTGATACTATTTGATATCGTTTGACCGTTCACAAATTGAACGCAACTGTTTGTTTAATAATAAACAAAGAATGTGGCGCTTTATATCTATTGAATATTAATGGAATAATGATCGTTCGTTCGTTTCTTTTTCTTTCTTAGTTGATATTAGCCATCAAAATTTTCTTAAAACATTATTCCTGATTGAAAACAAAAAGTATCTGTCGAAAAATAGACAAATCTATTCTTTATTATTCTTAATCGAATCTGTAAGAGTAAGTCTATTTTATTTAAATTTTCTTCTTGCTTGTTTTTTGTAGTACTAGCAGATGAATTTTATTATTTTGACAACATAGAATAATTAATCAATAGATTTTATATCAGAAATTAGTTTCTGTTGTAACTTCTAAATGTTATACTTATATAATATTAGTATGGTTATGAGATTGATCAAAATTTATATCAATGAAATGATTTTATTTATTTGTTGTTGTTGTTTATTTGTTTTTTCTTTTGAATTATTGAGATCAATTGATGCTCAAAATATCTTATGGGTTTAAGACTAAAAAATAAATAAATGTTTCTGAATATTATATTATCTAGGAGTTTTTGATTGTGTTTTATGTTTTTTTATTTTTTGTTTTGTAGACTGTTGTTTTTTTTATCTTTGAAAGAAAAAAAAACAGCATCATGTCAGATGAAGAAGAAATGATTGATGATGGTGATGAAGAAGAAGAAGAATATAATAATCAAACAATTGAACCAGTAATTGATGTTTTACAAATTGATAATGAATTATCATCAACACAATATCGTTTTAAAAAAAATGAGATTATGCTTTGTTATCATGGTTTACTTTTATATGAAGTTAAATGTGTTGATCATAAAATGAAAGAAAATGATAGTGGAAATTTTCATCGTCCATCATATTTAGTACATTATTGTGGTTGGAGTTCGAAATGGGATGAATGGGTTGATGAAACACGTCTTGTTAAAATGGATGAAACTGGTTTAAAACAACAAACACAATTACTTCTTCAACATGGTAAAGGTAAAGCTCGATTAAAAAATTTACGAAAAAATAATAGTACAAGTCCATTAAAACGAACAACAAGTCGATCTATATCTGATTATTCAACAAGTACAAATGTGGATTCAATTACGAATGAAACAACAATAAATATAAATAATAATAATAATAATAATAGCCATTTTCCTATAGAAGAAACACCATCGTTATCTGGACGAAGTGATACAGGAAGTAGTAGTAGTAGTACAACAAGTGAATTAATATCAAATACAGATTCAACTATTACAAATAATGATTTAATTGAGCCTGATGCAAAAAAAATTAAACGAAGTGTAAATACTACTGGAAAGATAACAAACAAAGATAAAAGTAAGGTTTTTTACAGTTTGAATAACCTTATAAGAGTTTTTTTTGTTTTGCTTTCATAAATCAATGTACCAGTAAAAATCACAGAGTTTAAGATTATTGAAAAATATTCAAAGATTTTAATTAATAAAACAAACTTTCTATATATAGTAGTCATCAAAAGTCTCCATACCAAGTAAAAAGTATGTAAACATGAATCGCTCAGTCTTATACTTTAGTCATAAAAAGATTGTAATGCACCATGATCGACCTTCATATAAAAGAATAGAAGATCGACGTTGATTTTTTTATTCAAATGAATGTATTTCAGCATCAGTAAAAAAAAAACCCTCATAGCGATAGATTTCTTCATTCAGCAACTCCATTGTTACTTCCATTACGGATAAAATTTTCATGCCAAACGATTATAGTTTTCTTGATTTATGGATTTATCTTTGAGTATTCTTAGCATGAGAGTTGATGAGATTTGTCAAAAAGTAACCTTTAATGTCAACCATTCTCCTTGAAATTTTCTGAAAATTTCATGATTATAACCTTTGGTAGAGCCGAGATCCATATGAAAACCAATCCAGATAGTGGAAACATCGCTGCGTCTCAGGATCACGACAGATTTGAGTCTCGTGTGTGTGACAGAGTAAAGATATGTGGAGCTTTAGTTACCAATCAAAAGATTCATATTAACACCTAGAGAATAATGGCGAAACGGAGAAGTCTCTTTTGAAATTCCAAGAAAAACAAAATCGTTTTTATTCTAAAATCAATGCATTAAGCTCGATCCGTACTTATGATCAGAGTTTACCTAACTCTAGTAGTTGGAAAAACATTAGGCAAAAGCTTCAACTTTAGGTCTTTCTTCTTATTTTCTTATGAAACCTTTGGTGACTACTGTATAAAGTTATTTTTATTGTAAACAAGAAGATCTCGAAAACAATCGGTTATATTTTATGATGAAAAGTATATATTAGTTATATTGTATCATTATTCATATGGGAAGAATTAATATATATGGAACGAAGAAGATAATCACAATTTTCTTAACTCAAATAGAAAATGTTTTTCATTTAATTCGTCAGTAAAAACGTTCCTTTCAAATGCTGTACAACATGATTTAGTTTGGAAATTCTGCTAGTCTGACTTTCTATATTCACTTCGGAATATAGACTATTAAATAGTGTTAATATTTTTGTTACAATATTTAAATAGAGTAAAAAATTAACATAATATTCACTACCAATTAACAAAAATAATTGTTCAATTATCACTAATCTTTTGGGATTATAAAATGAGTACTCCATTTAGGACATGAAAAGAAGCCTTAAAAAAATCTAGTTTTTCAACTATTTTCTCTTGTGTCTCCACTAAGAGAAACATTTTTATTCAATAGAAGACCATATTCAGAATCAGTATAAGAAATTGCATCGAACTATTTTTACAGACTTTTGAGTACGAATCATCGAGATAAGATGAAACAGTGTAGTTGCGCTTGTTAATCATAGATAGATTTTGTTTTATTCTATCTATTTTGGAACACATAGTTTCATCCTAGTTTTACTTAATCCTTCAGAGATACAATAAGAAAGTAGTTCATATTGATATATGATCTACATTTTTACTCTTATATTTCAAGATTCGTTTTAGGTTGCATTTCACAACATTCTTAAAATTTTATTTTTATTTAGAATCTGAACCAATATCAACTATTGCCAATGATTTATCACCATTAATTTCAGCTCAACATGAAACATGTCAACGTTTAACACATCGTTTTTATTCATATCAAATGGAATGGTTACAATTTCCATCGGAACTTGTTGAATTATTAATAAATGATCGTGATCTTATAAATAATCAAAATAATCTTCTTACAATTCCACCAATTGATTCATCATTAATTATTCGTAATATATTTAAAAATTATTTAGAACAACAAATAAATGAATGTTCATTAGCTGAAGTACTCGCTATAAGAACATTAATATCATCATTAATGGATATGTTTAATATAGCACTTGGAAAATGTTTACTTTATCGTTTTGAACGTTTACAGTTACGACAATTATTAGAAAAAGATTCTCAAATATCATTATGTGATTATTATAGTTCAATACATTTACTTCGATTTTTATGGCGTATTAAAGATTTATTACGTGATATGAGTGCAAATACAAATCGAGATGAATTTGGTTTATTATTAGGACGTATACAACATTTTTTGAATTATTTATATGAAAATAAAACAATATTATTTCCTTCAAATGAATATGATATTTGTTCAACAGAATATTATCGTTGTTCGTTGCAATGTTTTCAATGAAAGTCTTTTTGTTTTTTTTTTGTTTTTTTTTTTTGTATTTTTATTATTGTTATTAAAAGTGAGTAAAACTAATAAAGGAAAGAAGAAGAAGAAGAAGAAGAAAGAAAAAAAAACCATATTTAATCAGTATGAAACTGTTTATTTTTCATGCAAAGATGTTACGATATAAGAAAGAATCATTCATTATAAATAAGAATTGTGTAAATTTGTTCAAATAATGTTGCTATTGTTCTTGTTTAGAAGTTATACAATTCTAATCATATATTGATAAACTTCTACGACCATTTGAACGAGAATAACGTGTAGATTTATTATATTGTTTTCGTTTTGATTTATCTGATAAAGAAAAATCAGAATCTGAAATATATTTATCATTTGATTTCGAAACTAAAGAATAATCATTATGTAAACGATTACGATTTGATTTAATTCGATGTTTGCTTTTATTTGAATGACTATCTCTATACGTAGTATTATTTAATCCAAGTTTAGATAAACTGACAGCTATCTGTTCAGCTTTTGCACGACGAGATTGATCAAATGGTTTACGGATAGATGTTTGACGTTTAGAATTTTCACTTGTTTCATCATCGAATAATGTTTGTTTACTTGATATATGATTCGATCCCATAACTAATGATTGACCAAGACCACCTTGTGTTAAAACACCTTGTGATGGCATTAATGGAGCTCCAGATGGTATAGGACAACATGGATTACAATCAGCTATAATAGGTGGTGCAACAATAGATACAGATCGTGGAACTGCTACTTGTTGAACATTAGGAATTGCTACTGGAGTTGGACATGGAACTGGATATGGTTGTGGTACACATACTGGACGTGGATAATAACTAATTGCAGGTGGTGCTGATGGTAGTGCTGATGCTGTACAATAACAACAACAACATGACAATCCACCCCTGACATTATATTGTGGACAAAAACCACCAAATGATGATGATGCAAGCAAAGGACTTGGTGTACCGCCAGGAAAAGGCATTACCATTCCAACATTATTTGGAAAGTCAAGTGAGGGTGGTCTAAAAGCCGTAGGGCCTGTTGATAATGCCGACATGAATGATGATGGAGTCATCCAATTACAACTATTCATTGATGCCATTGGATACATAGATTGAACAAGTGGATTACATGCAATTGGTAATGGAGTAGCAGCTGCCATCATTGAAGAACCCATAGGTAAACCACATGATGCTGGTAGACAAGGCATCATTGGCATCATAGGCATCATCGGCATCATTCCACCCATTCCGCCCATTCCGCCCATTCCGCCCATTCCACCCATTCCAGACATGGCTTGCAATTGTGAAAATTTAGCTAATTTTCTTTGCATAAATGGTATCATTTGCAATGTAGTATTGCCCATATAATAATTACCATAATTCCAAGGAGACATACCTAAAATTTGAATTCAATCGTACATAGAATATTCTTTTAAATAAAATTTACCACGACCAAATCGACCACCTAAATAAGTCGGTGGTAGCATTGATCCACCATACATACTTGTCAATGATTCGGTTGGAGCATATCTAGGACCATATCCATATACATCATAAGGATCCTCACCCCAGCCAGGACCTGGTGGTCCATAACCTGGAGCATAAGGATATGGAGGTGGCGGACCATAACCACCTGGTGGTGGTGGTACAGGTTGATAGAAAGGATCATTAGGTGGAGGAAAACCAGGACCAAGTTGGGTCTTGTTTTTTTTACCAAATCTTCCACCCATAACTGTTCATAGAAAATTTTATTCTAGTTCGTATACATTTTTTTCTTTCCTTACATCATTACTGTTTAGACTATGATAATGATATCGACAAAAAAAAGAAGTTATTTTTCAGGTGTCTATATGGTTATAGCTGATTTTTCTTTCTTTTTCTATCATAATATGCGTGTCGTTTGTGTGTTTTTTCATTCATTTCATTGCTACATGTTGCAATAGACGTACACCTAAATATGTTAGTAATAAATTTCCTCTCCTAACGTAAGATAGTTGTCGGCCTTGTATAAATAAAACTTGTCTATAGTCCAAGGCTAGATGATGTCGTGTTCAAGACCATTGACTAAAAAAAATAATCATCTAGACATAATAAATTTTTTTTTCGACTGCCTACAAGGGCTTCTGTTTTTTTTTGTAATAAGTAAAATTACATGAATCTTCAATTAAAGAGTGCAAAAAGAAAATTAATTAGTTTATCATTCCGAGGACAAACGTTTTTTTCTTTTATATTTTTTTAAATAACAACAAATGTATTGGTTTCATAAGACACAATAATACAGAGACAAAAAAAAAGAAAGAAAGCATTAGAATTCACGTCGATGATATCGATCTGGTTCATAATACGATGTGACTACTACACGATTTGCAAATTTTCTTCCTGTTAAAGCTTGTTGAGCTTTTTGACATTCACTTATTGAAGTAAATTCAACAAAGATCTATATATAAAGAAAAATTAATATGTATTATATAAGTTTTTTTGTTTGTTAATTTTACTTTTCCAACACCAGGTACATCAACACCTTGAATTGGTCGAGGAATTTCAAGACTTTTAACAAGTCCATATTTACCACATTCTTCTCGTACATCTTCCATAATATCTATATGAACAAAAAACAAAACTTAATATGAAGTAAACAAGCAAATACTTATATAAATCTTTACCTTCATATTCTTCATCATCACGTAATTCTTCTTCTGTAACCATATTTAATAAACATAAAACTTCTGTGGCTACAGTTGGTGCTAATAAATTAACACCTGGTAATTGAACACCGATAGCACCGGGCATCTAAGAAAATAGTTTTATTTTTTTCTAAGTATTTTCATTATAATAAATAACTTACTCCAGGCATATTTTTGGCTCCAACACTTGCTAACTGTACGATTAATTTTTTATCACCTAATTGCATTCCATTAAGACCTTGTATAGCCGCATCAGTTACATTCGATTCAACATATTCACAAAAAGCATATCCTTTAGATAGACCTGTTGCTGCATCTTTAACTAAATTAAATGCTTTTAATGGACCAAAACTCATTAATAATTCTTTGACCTAAAAATAAGATTTACTCATAATTTACCATACAAAAAGAAAACTAGAAAATAAAGAAAATAAAGAAAATTAGGGAAAAAAATTGTGTTTTTTTTTTCGTCTTATTTATCTAGAAAAAGAAAACTCTAAATTTATCGGAAATGATCGAAACTCACAGGAAATCAATCAATAAATAAATATATATATGTCCATTATTTGGTTGTTCTAGATGTATGACGAGCGTGATGAATTTTTATTTTAACCAAACGCTCGATACATCATCGCTGATCTAGTCTAGAACAACAATATACAAAATCAGTTTTTTGTTATTTCTCACCACTAAGCTTATCATTTAGGACCGTCACGAATGAAAAAAAAAAACGAAACCAATTATTCATTACTGATTTCAATTATATGAATAAAAATCTTAATCTATTGAATCTCAGAATTAATGATAAATGCTTTATTTTTGTATCGACACAAAAATGGATTCATTTGTCTCAAACACTCGAGCTAGTTACCTTCTTACTTATGAAAATAATTTCAAGATGGAAGCTTCTTTTATACTTGATTGTTCATGGACGATTAATTGGAACTGATATACACTGCAGATGATAAAGACACGTGAAACTAGTTTTAGTTCTGACACTGTCAGATGACAAAAAGAAATTATCCGAAGCGAAAATGAAGGTTATAGTTAAATGTTCGATGGTTGTGCGTAAATTATCTAATAAATTATATCAATTAAAATTCAGGGACAATGAGAAAAGACAAGTAATATGCACCAATAAATCAATAAAAACGAACTTTTGCTTTGAAGTAAATAACCGCAAGCCTAAAGTCATCACAATTGGAACTACAAACATTAGATTTCGCACATTTTTAGTTTCAAAATATCGATAAATCTATACGGAAAACACTAACATAAAATGACAGAAAGTAATTCAACTCATTGAAATATAAAGAAAACAATTTAGTTCATTAATCTCTCAATATCTTAATGGATTTTCTGGAAAATAAGCCATTAAACTGATGAAAAGCTCTGATATTTCAAATACAACCTCGAAGACTTTAGATTACTCTGACAGTGAAATTTTCACAATCTGAGAAAAGTGTTGAAACTATGACAGATGTAATCGTAAGATCAAAGTTCACTACAATATATTGTGATTAATATCTTTCATCATCAGCATAGATTAACAGTAAGTAACAACTCATAAATCAATATATACTGATTAATCTCCTCTTTGATAATACCAGCAGTTCCATCGCGTTTCACATCGTAACCCGCAGTGATCACGCTAACAGCTTTTTTACAAATTATTTTATTAAAATAAATTTACGATTGTAGCTTCCAAGACAGATACTACCTTGACATTTTCTTTCTTACCATTCTCAGTTAAAACTATGAGAAATCAAAAAAAAAACCTAGTGAAATTCGATATAGGCTTCCTCAATCTTATTAGAGCAAGTGTCACAATATCAACATTCGTGTTATCATTAACATCGAAATTTTTCACTAATGAACTAAAGCAAAGATTAATTTTTGATACGATTTTATCATTTTCGCGACGGTCCAGATTACTCATCAATAAAATTGCCGAACTAACCTGATCATCATTTAAATAATTCGGTAAACCACCAAGAAAGATTTTAAATGGTGAATCAGCCACAACAGTAGAAACAAGTCCTAACAAAAGAACAACAGCGAAACTAATGATTCTATTTATAATAAATTTTCAAATGAAAATCTTACCAGGTACATTTGAATTAGGTAGATCACCTCCACCTGGCATTGGTTGATAATCTCTTGGTCGACGAATTTTAAGTGATTGTCCTTGAAAAACAATACCATCAAATGCCATAGCAGCTGTTGTTTCATCAATTGAACGAAACTAAATTTTTATTTTTAAATTAATATATATAAAAAAAAGAAAGAATATCAATGAAATATTCTTTTTTTTTTTTTTGAAAATTTACTTCAAGAAAAGCAAAATTTTTATCAAGATTTATTTGAACAGCAATAACTGGATTTCCTTCTGTTTGTGATAAACCAGTTAAATGCATTTGTTGATTAAAAAATTCCATCATTGCATTCTATAATAATCAAAAGACACAATAGAATCTCATTTGAATTAATAAGCATATGAGCGTATAAAAAAAAGTCAAATCGGTTCACTAGAACTTTTCTTGGCGATTTTCATTCAGTCACATATCAACGGAAAGATGCTGACAGATACTGTTAGCATATTTACTGTATTTATCCTCAACGCTTATTTTTTAAAAATTCATAACAGTTCAATTTAAGCCAAATCTAATATAATATTTGAAGTCAACTTTAAAATACGGAATTAGACTGCGTACGGTTTAAAGAATTTCTGTAACTTTTTTTTTCGTCGAAAATATTCACGCGTGGCTCTCTTTAGGGTTGAGTCAAAAAAAAAATGACATCAATCATAACGCCATGTTTAATGAGTAATGAACTGTTTTCTTTTTTGTGCTCTATTATCATTTTACAAGATTACCTTTTGTGACTTTAGAAAACATGATTTTATAGCTTTTTAGAGAGACTATCAAATGAGAAATCCGAGAATTTCGGTCATCTTAATTTTTGAACAAAAAATATTTGCTCAACGATATTTAAGTGGATGATAAATACAGTACATATTCTAATAGCGTCTATTAGTAAATCGGAGCCATATCTCGTTAAATTAAACAATCAATTGATGACTTATGTATATATATATATGGAATTGAAGCCACATAAAACAGCTATCAAATTCTTCATGATAAGACGAACTATTAGAATAATGATCAAAAAAATGAGTTATTCTGTTGATAGCTTTCAAAATCTCATAGTGCTAATATGAAAATAAGAATTTCAACATATACTTTCCGTTGATTTATAAATCAATGCTTTTAGCCAAATAAAGTACTAGTGGACCGATGTTACCTTTTTTTACTGTACTCGTCTCCTTTCATTTTCGTACTTCTGAAACACCAAATGGAATATTTCCAACATATAATCGACGTGATTGATGTACAACGTGACTTCCAAGTACTGGTGTAGCTGCAGCTGTATTAGCACTCCAATCTTTTCCAGTAAAAATTTGAGAAATTTGACCAGATGCTAAATAGAAGAAAAACTTTAATATAAAAAAAAACAATCTGAATATATTTTTTGTTTAAATTTATACCTTGCATAGCTTTATATTGAACAGGAGTAATGTGTTCAAAACCAACTGGTGGTACATCCCAATATTTATATTTTTTGATAGGTTTTTTTTCAGTTTTATTTTCTTTTTTTGAACGATCTTTTGGTGAACGTGAACGACTATGTTTATTACGATAATTATCATGTGGGGAACGTGATCGTCGACGTTTACTTTCTTTTTCACGTGAACGATCACGATGACGACGAGATTTACGATCTCGAGAACGAGATCGAGATGAACGTCGATTAGTTTTTTCTGAACAGAAAATATAGTTTTGTTTTTACATAAGAAAATTAAAGAAATATGATTTAATTTACCTGGTTCGTCGTTTGCCATGTTTTTCTTTTTTTTGATGAAACAATCTTTGATTATTGTATTGAAACGAATGAAAAACAAAGTATAATTGCCCGTTTAGACAATATGGAGGACTTTAACCAATTAGAATTTACAAGGACTACAGATGACGCTCGATAACGAGTAGGAAAAGATTTCAATGGAGAATATTTAGAGAGAAATATTCAAAACAGAGATAGACATGGTTTGATTGAACTGAAATTTCAGTTGCATAGAATTTCGAAAAAATTGAAATCATCTTATGTGGAATTACTTGCGAAAAATTAGAGGCTCTTTACTTGTGTTATGATGTTGTCAAGTTTTTCGATGTGATCCGAACTGGAATAAAACCTTCGGTAATTTTATATACTTAGACAACTGTCTATTTTCTAATCAGCATTCTACCCGTGATATGCCGATAGTTTTTTTCTGTCCGGTAGTACTAAGAGACACAATACACAAAGAACGTTACGAAAAAGGGATGGTCTGCAAAAATCAGACATTTCCCACGATAGAAAAAGAAGGTCAAACATTAATACGATTTTTATCTGAACATTCTTTATGGATGATGCTTAAAAGACGTTCTAATACTTCATTTAATCAATAATGATATTCTTTTCTAATCTCAAAAAAACTGAAAATGTACAATCGACGTCAAAAGAGTCGTATCATTTTTGACTTTTAAATTGTGTCGTAAAACTAGACAACTTTAATTTAATATAATTATATGCCTATACAGCAGAGGTTCAGTACTATATCCGTTGTATACCTGTTTAAAAGAACAATTGTTTGAATGTAAAATATTATGAATAAATAGAAGCTTCGATACCAAAGAAAAAACAGCAGACTACAATGAACTTCAAGACTGAAGTTACTGACGGTTTCCTCCTCAGGTAATACACATGAACAAGATATGTCTTAGGATTGTCCATTTCCATTACGTCGTCGTCACGCATCATCTACGTACAACAACAATATCATGCTATCTGTTTTAAGTCATCTTTTTTTAGTCTTCGTTATTAAATTTTCGATTTATTTATTGTATTTTATCTTCAAGCATTTTTCTGTATTAAAAAGCTAAATATCTATATAGTACTCAAATTCTATTATACAGCCATAGAATGATATTAAATTAATGCTCTAAACGATCTGAAAATTTCGTATTGTGCAATACTTTTAATGTCGCAGGTAGTACCCGGCGTGACCAACTTTTTTGGTCACGGTCACGGTCACGGTCACGGTCACGATCACGATCACGGTCACGGTGAGCCCAGGCCGTGACCGTGAGTCACGGCCCTTTTCATGGTTTTTCAACATGAAAAAAAACTTTCCAGAAAGAGCTATTGCAATGTTTCCTTGCCAGATTCTTTATGGATTCGGTCAGAATCCTTCCAGGATTCGCTTTTTCCTGAGGGAACGGCGAAATCCTGTAAGAAGTGTGTATTCACGAAGTTTCAAGATCCTAACAGAGTTCGAAAAAGGATTCCATCAGGATTCTGAACGGGTCTCCATTGTTGTTGAACTTGGAATAAATTTGAAAACAATATATGGCTGTGGGTGTGAGCAGAACTTCTACTTATATTAACTGACAAGAGCGGTCACTGATATACTCTCTTGTTGACTTTTTGTTGCGACGCTCCTCAGTTTTAGCTGCAAAAAGTTGACTGGGTCCTTGTACCAAGATCCGTGTCTGATCTTGTCTAACATTTGATAAAATCTGGAGAGAATCCTCTCCATTATTTCTGTTAGGATTATAACCAAAATCATGAATGAATCCTTCAAGGATCCTGTATTTATTATCTGCAAACACATCTGGCCAAGAATGGAAAGAAATCCTAAACAGGATCCTGTATAACTGAGAAATCCTGGCAGCAGAAATTGAGCCGAGATTCTGAGGAAAACTTGGCAAGACCTTGGACATTCAGGATCCTCACAGATCCTTGCAAAATCTCCAAAGAAATGAACAGAATCGAGACTAGGATTCGATCTACTATTAAAAGTGATCATCGGGGGAGGGTAGCTTCGCGGAGGTGCCCGTACTTCTCCTCAGGGGTTTCCAAAATTTCGAAAAAGTTCCCGTGACTAACCGTGACCAAGCTCCAGTCACGGTCACGGTTATGGTCACGAACGTTCACAAAGTATTGGTCACGGTCACGGCCGTGACCATGATCGTGACCGTGACTGCCGTGAGTCACGCCGGGCACTAGTCGCAGGACTTGCTGAAGAATAGTTTTATAGGAATTTTAAAGTATGCGATGATACAATCTGTTGCAAAAGCCTTCATATTAAACAAATGAAAAATAATTATTATTTTATCGTAAACAGTATCTAAAAGATCTAAGAATATTCTTTGACTTATTTTTGTTTACAATTTATTCAACATGAACTGTGTAACAATATTTTAACTAATAATTTCGAGAATTTAGTTGACTCAAGAAAATGTTTTATCTATCGATTAAATCCTACTGATACTGAAATTTATTAAGTTCATGTTTTGATAGTATAGAAAGTCATAGTTCTAACCAGTCAATTTTTACATTTGATGTTTAAATGAATGCTAAGATTTGAAGTAAAACTCTAAAGAATGAATCTGAGAGACAGGAATGGGTTGAGGTCGCCAGGATTAGTAGGGTCAGAAAAGCACTGAGGAATCAAAAAGCCGAATGGAAGATTTTTGATAATGTTGACTAGATTTTGAGTATGGAGTACTTGTTGAGAAAAGAAGGACAATAAAACTCTGGAGCTTTCTTGTGAAAAAAAAAGATTTTTCAAGATTAGGTGAGTAACTCCCTCTTTCAGAGCATCTCTACTTTGAGGCATTCAACTTGTTAAGAAGTCAGACTTCTATTTTATATGACATTCAAGCGAAACAAGTACTTCATTCTTTTCTTTCAGAGAAAAAAAGATGAAAACGATAACAATCCTTATCGATATGAATTTAGTCAAATTTATCGATAAAATAATAAAGTTTCTTTTCTTTCTTTTCTTCATTGTGATTTGAAAATATCTATCTCCATCTATCGTGATTTACATAATATTCTCGCTGTTCGTGCTTATATCGTTACCTTAGTTACTTTTAAGCAAAGAAGAAAAAATAATAAGTAAATGTGAGTTTTATTCGTTCTTCTTCCAATTTGTCTTTATTTATATTATATACAATTGTATTGTACAACGTGTATAGTTAATTGAACTACACTTGTTCACTAGAATTGTTGACTGATGAAGACAATGAGAACATGTACAAATGGATTCGTAACCAGAAAAAAAAACGAGTGAAAAGAAAGATTTTTATTTAATGCTTTTTTTTCACGGGAAGTTTTCTATATTGATCAAACGATCGCATTCTTAAACTTTATGATTATTGTCAAGTAAGTGTGAAGATGAAGACAAGTATTGTTTGATTTTACGTTACATGCAGATTCGATTAAATTTACAATAGCTGAAATTATTTATGACACTTATTGTAACATCTTCTTTTTAGTCTAGATTGATGAAATGTTTATTAACATTTTGTCTGATAGAATAGAATCATAGTTAAAAACAAGCGACATTTTTCTTTCATTTCTATTTACTCAGTTTATAGAAAAATTAAAGAAGAAAAAAAAAAAATTCTTCTATTATAATAAATAATAAATGATATTCATCCACGTAATGGAAAAAAGAAAATTTTCTTATAATTAAAATTTATTTTTTAAATGAACATATTTGATAATAATTATTTTAGATCAAAAATAAAATGACAACAAAATCTGATTATCTTCTTCGTTTAAAAATAATTAGTCTTGGTAATGTTAATGTTGGAAAAAGTTGTTTAATAAAACGTTATTGTGAAAAACGTTTCATACCAAAATATATGGCAACAATTGGTATTGATTATGGTGTAACACGTTTACGTGTACGTAATTATGATATACGTATGAATATATTTGATTTTTCTGGTCATCCACTTTTTTATGAAGTACGAAATGAATTTTATCGTGATGTTCAAGGTATTTTACTTGTATTTGATTTAACAAGTCGTCGATCATTTGATACATTGGAGTATTGGCTTTGTGAAATGAAAAAAGAATTAAATTTAAATAATGGACAAAAATCTTCAATCATTATTTTTATTGTTGGAAATAAAAATGATTTAAAAAGAGTTGTAGATGAAAATGAAGCCAAAATATGGGCAAATGTTCGTGGTTATCAATATTTTGAAACATCAGGTATTCAAAAGATTTCTTTTTATTGTAAATAATAATCATTGTGATATAAAATATGTTATTTGTACTTTATAGATAAGTGTATATATATATATATTTCTTTTACAATACACTTAACTACAAGATTAAGTATACTTGTAAATAATTTCTAGAATAAAGAATTAGAATATTCTGAAAGTTTCACATAGAATAAATATTAATAGGTCATAAGGTTCAATAATATATATTCTACTGAGAGTTTTCATGTCTGTCTATTATATATGAAAGAATTTTAACGGAAATTCAATGGCTCAAGATGTTAACCTCAGTGATCTTGAAAATCATTAGTCTATTTTTAGTTTTGATAGAAACTTTGTTCTACTTGAGTTATCTTTATTTAGCATGAAAAATCTCTTAAATGAACATATAGAAAGTATCTTTTAAAGATATTTTTTTAATTGAGCATTCCCAATGTTCAATTCATAGAGTCGAACAGACCTATGAAACATAGATCTTGATTTGCTAATGACAATCTGATAAGATTTGCCTTAAGATTTTTTAATTTCTTCTGCTCTTGAGAAAAACGTACAATAACTGAATCAGTGTTTCATCTATCGTGAGAGTAGCATCTTTCTGAAGATCGAGTTGGCTCTTCCAGATTTTGTGGTTATTGTACTACGTGTCAGTATTTCAAAAATTAGATATTCGCCCTTCCGAACTTTAAAGTCGCTTCTTAGAAGAGAAAATTACTTCTGTGACTCGAATCGGTCAGAAACCCGTCGTCTAACCGCTGGTAGTACGAAAAGAGATGCAATGTAGAAAGATATGCTTCTTTATATACGAATAAAGGCGGATGGATATTAGAGGATACGAGAGAAAGGAAAGCGAAGAAGAAGGCACACTTCCAGCTAATATGATCTAGTGTTCCCAACACAGTGTATAACAAACGCTAAGAACTTCTTCAACCTACTTGTGTCTATCGTTCGTTTTTCTTTCGGTCTGGATTGTCTCTCGTGGATTGTGTATTTTTTCATACATAAGGAAATTCTCTATGCCGAAACGAAATACCTGTATGAAATATTTATTAAATTAATGCATTACAAGAAAAAAGTTTTGTTTTTGAAAAAGGTTTTCAATCAACGAGAAAATATCAAGTCGTGTCATCTTAGAACAATATAAATATAAATTATAAGTTATAATCAACGATCTATCTAAGGTAACAATAATAACCTGTTCAAAAAAATGTTTTTTTAGAAAAACATGATAAATAGGTGACCGATCTGAAATATCGGCTCGTTCGAAATGATCCATTACAAGTTCAAAAATCAGAGCTGGTTGCTTATCGGAGACAAGCCAACAGGCTCGAAGACTTTTTTCAGCTTCTATTTCTGCTCATTTTAACAAACAACCTAGAATTTAGAAAAATATTTCCATCAATTTTTTTTTCATATACTTTTCCAGATTGAATTCATATGGTAAAATAAATAACAATAAATTGAAGATAAAAATCTGTATACTTTTGATTATCGCTGCTTTTCTCTTTGCTTGCTCTATTTATACTATTAGATGAAAAATTCATTCATCTATTTTGTTTCAATATTATTTAATTATTTATATTTTCTTTTAGCTGCAACCGGTGCAGGTGTACAAGAATTATTCGATAGTCTATTTTCGGCATTGATTGATACAAATGAAAATGGTGGTATTACACCAGCTAATAATTTACCAAATGTAAATTTTACTATGGAACAAGTTGAAGCAATTAATCGTTTACGAAATAATAAAGACAATTTTGAACGCTTAGGTTTAAGACATAATTGTACAAAAGAAGATGTTTTAGCAGCTTATAAACGTTTAGCTAAATTATTACATCCAGATAAAAGCGAAGCACCTGGAAGTGAAGATGCATTTAAGTTATTACTTAATGCTAAAACAGAATTATTAAATCGTTTTGAAAAATAAAATATTTGTGAAACAAAAAAAGAAAAAAAAAATAGACTCTTGATATCAAGCTATTGTTTTTAATATATATATATGGGGGTGGCCAGTCTGGCCGGAGGCCCCATTAATATTTCTTTGTATTGTAAAGATAAAACATGCTATTGCTCGGGGCATATGATAGTGAATCATAGATAACCCTGCATTTGCCCTAACGACACCATGTTGCATCCATCCAATCGAAAGGA